GTTTATTGCTTAGTATTGTATCAGCAAATGATAATTATGACTGTTTCTATTACTGAAATACATCAGTCTATTCTTGAGATAATTTTTAATTCACTGTCATCAGCTAAACTACCTTACCTTCAATTGATTGTAGACAGTGGATATAATCCTTCATCAAAGATGCCAATATTGTATGATACTTGGAAGAGATGTGGCGCCATTAAACTAAAGAAAGCTGTAATCATTGATGAATGGGATCGGGAGACAAAGCTTAATAATTTAATGTAAATACACATTGCTTCTTCTGCTTTAATACATTAAATTTTTGTGTTTATTGGTACTCACCAACAATGCATACACTCGTTCATTAAGGATCAAATTATTAATTAATGATTAACTATTGATTATTACACTGTATGTTGAATTTCAACTTTAAAAGTACTAACAACATATAAATAGAAGAGAGACATGGTGCCATCAAACTGAAGAAAGGTGCCATACACCTGACACAAATACACTTCATGTGTATTGAGTACAAATCCTTACTAAAAGTAATAACTAACTAATAACTTAATATTACATGCATAAATTTTAAGTAAATTTCGGAGCCAATTTTTTGAAAAAACCATGGGCTATGTATTAGTTATTACACCCTACTGGAGGCTTTATCTGATATATACACGAAAACTATATTCATAATTCCCAAGGGCGTAGCCCGAGGGAGTTACAAATATAGTTTGAGTGTATATATCAGATAAAGCCGACAGTAGGGTGTCATAACTGGTTTATTCAGAAGCCATACAGAACAATGGCATCAAACATGGTTGATAGCTAGTGGATATTCAATGGCTGCCCTAGGGCAATATCCATATTATCCATATAGGATAATATTATGGATAATATATATTATCCATATTATCCATAATATCCATATAGGGCAATATCTCTCTCCCTCCCTCTCTCTCTCCCTCCCTCACCTCCCATTCTTTAGAGTTCATTAGTCTACAGCTGTGATGCATTGCTATCAATCTATTGGCTACACACTTCAAGTTAGCAAGACAGTCTGTAGAGAGTTCAATGAGGAGATCATAGGCACTAACACTAGCAGCAACATCAAAACATCTGATGAAGGAATAATAATAATAATGGCAATAATAATAATAATAATAATAATAATAATAATAATAATAATAATTGCACAGTAAACAGGGGCGTATCTAGAATATGGAGGAGGGGGGTGCTGAGCGACGCGCAAAGCGCACCGCGATTTTGACCACACCCTTTTTTTGCGCACAAAATGGGTGTGTATTCTAATATCATGTGATTATGCCAATGGAGTAGTTTTGACAGTTTGACCATGGATGTGATCATGACCATGGTAATTTTTTTAGCTTAAAAATATCTAACAAGAGCTAGTCGCTCAAAACATCAGACATCTGCAGCCTTCTGGGATGCCTACAGGCAAACTCATCTATAGCAGATGGGAGATCCACTTCAATATCCCTAAAAACGTGGAGAAGACGGTCAGGTTTGTCAGTGAGCCTAGTAGTTGTCATTGAGGAGCGAATTGATGTTTTTGTCCTCTTTAGGCTACTAAATGATCGTTCTGCTGAACAGGTCGTGACAGGTAGTGTTGCCAATATGGTCAAAAGAACTTTGATGCTGGGATACATTTCACTTGTCTGAGGAAGTGTACCCCTAGGGCTGTCTGGAAGACTGGCATTTCCATAGTTTGTAGAATGCTCCTGCCACTTTACTTTCCATGTTTCTATCTCAGTGGTGAAACATTCTGGAGATGGAAGGTCTTCTTTGTACATCTCTGCTAGTTTAATACAGCTTTCTTCAAATGAATCAGAGGACA